AAAACCCCAATGATCACGCTTAGACTAAATCCAAAACCCCCTCCTCAAAGTTATCAAACAAAGCACCTCTCTTCTAGTACATTAACAGTCCCAATGGGTGTTATATGCATGGTGTGTGCATCATAATGTCATGTTTTAATTATAAACAAAGCAAGATGAAGTTTCCTGGTCAGGAAGAATGAGGTGCATGTATAAGAATCTGTCTCCCAAGGTTTAAATCTTATAGACATTTGCAAAATATTTCTCTTGAAAGAAACTCTTAGAAGGGATATTTTTAGGCATGTTGGTTTCTCCAAAAGTAGAAGAGAAACCTACCACCAACCCTTAGTTTAAGGAACCCTTCTGGTGATGCTACTCTGCATTTCAAAAAGCTGTTTTTGCCTCTTAATGTTGGTAGCTGGAGACATTTGCATTTGAGGGGACGGTGGTGTGTGTTTTTCCCCATCCCTCTTGCTGCTATTTGGGCTTCTCTTTTTAAAAAGAGGGAAAAAAGAGAAAAGAAAGATGACAGTCTTTAGTATCATTTAGAGGAGTGAAAGATTTCGGGACATGGGCAAGATTGGTTCAGTTTTCACCATCTGCCATCCATGACAGTTTATTTCAATCACACATTTGCTTAAATTGTCATCTGGTGAAGGACCCCTCCATCCAATGCATACACACCTCCCCTTTCCGTTCCCCACACCCGCCAACTGCTACTCTCACCACCTCCTCTCTCTTTAGTTCAATAAAAAACTGAAATCTCAGTGATGGACCTGGAAACCTATGAAGGGTGGGAAAGGGCAGTCATCAATCCCAACAGAGAAAAAAGTGAAAAAACACACACAGACACACACACACATACACACACACACACACACACACACACACACAGGGAAAGCAAGCATTACACAAAAGGGCAATCCAAGAAGAGGCAGCTTTTCTGTCCCGGGTTAACAAATTATCCCCATCTCATTAATGTGCAAACACAGGATCAAATGATGATATTCTCCCACCCCACCCCCAGCACTGCTGTATCACGTCTGCCCCTGAAGTCTCTTGCTACAAGTCATTACCCTGTAGGCATTCTCCTGAGGTAGAATTTTCTCATCTTTCCCCGTAGAAACTAGGAGTGTGCTATCACTGCTTGGGAGCCTAAGCTTGCTGCAGTCTTAGCAATGTGCTCCTGAAGCACGGCTCTCGGCACTGAACATTGGGGTTCTGTCTCCTTTCCCTCATCCAGACCACAGAGAGCAGGAGCTGAGGGACTCTCTTTAGCCATAGAAGGGTATGGGAAAGGGCACAAATGCTACTAAGTCTGGTCAATCAAAGATATAGAATTATGAACAAGTGGCATCTGGGGGTGAGATTTTGAGTTGATCTGAAAGATGGTTACATTAAGTGCAAAAATGTTTCTTGTTCTCAGGACAAACTGCTGGGCACTGCCTTTTCAAAGCCATTTGCAATCGTCTCTGCCTTAAAGTCTGAGCAGTGATGCCCAGTCCTCAGTCCTCTCACTTGCTTTAAGGTGGTTAGGTTGCACTGCCCCCACCTCAGTAATACACAGGATCTTGCTGTTTTTTCCAATTCTCACTCATGTGGGGAAAATTAATCTGAAATATTAAACTGATAAGCTTTGCTTGCCCTTCTTAAAATTCCAAATTGCACCTCACTACTTTTCTCCTGGATTTCTAGATTTTCCCTCTGGCTACTGGAGAACTTCCCCACTTCCAACCCCCCCCCCCAAGGAAATTTTAACTGTTGCTTTTCTTGTAACACAGGTAACAATTCATTTAGGTTACACCAGTCTGTAAAAACTGTAAATGCTATTTTATTTTAAACATTTTAGTTTACAAAAAAAAAAAAAAAAATCAATGATTGGTACCTTTTTACACTCTCAGATTCCTGAATATGGACAGATCTTCAAAGGGAGGAAGGAGTTTTCATATGAAATTTAAGATAGACTGTCCTGAAGGTTGTGGGGTGGGGTTTTGTGGTGTTTTATTTCGTTTTTTTGTTTGTTTTTAAGACACAATAAAGCTAAAATGTCAAGTCTCTGGGAGAGATCCCCTTAAAGTTTCAGTCAAGGAGCATTTCAGAGCACAGACAAGAAGACCCCAGCCTGGTGCCCGCCGGCCTGTCCCGGCTGCCCAGGCATATTTGGTAGCGCATAGGTTGAAAGCCACTGGGACAATCACACCTCGCATTCCCTTGCGGGCTGCTGGTGGCAGGTACACGAGCCATACTCGTTGATGATCACCAGGGCTCCCTCAATGTGGTTCGGTTTGTAATCAACGTAGTATTCCTGGGCAGACATGGCAGCCATCTGATGCATGGTCTGTTTCTGCTTTTGCTTTCTGCGCTGCGTGACAAAGCACTGTCTGAGCTGCCTGAGGCTCGCTGGGAAACACTTCCAGGACACGTACAGCACCAGGACCACGATGAGGAAGGAGAAGATGAGGGCCATGGTGCCTGTGACCACCTTGTGGATTTGCACGGCATTCTCAGCGTGCTCGCCGCCAGGGAGAGCCACGGTGGCAGGCTCGGGAGTGCCGTCGTCCTGCCCCTCCCCGCCGTCTGACAGCGTGGTGGCCGAGCTGGCGGGGGGCCCCAGGTCACTGCGGTTGGTGACAGCTGAGAGCAGGTGGCCGCTGGTAGGCTCGGCCCCATCCTCGCACAGGTGGAAGGCGTAAACAGCGTCCAGGACGTCCTCGCCCTGTGCGTACTCCGGGCTGGCGCACTGCAAGTTGCCATCGTAGCGTCCCTGGAAGTTGTTCAGCCACGAGGCCAGGGCACACACGTTGCGCCCGCAGTCCCACAGGTTCCCGGCCAGGGTGATGCTCGTCAGGGACTTCCATGAGTTGAGAATCCGGGGTTCGATGTAGGTGAGGCGGTTGGAGTCCAGCTGCAGGGACTGCAGGTGCGGCACGGTCTCGAACACATGGGGCTCCATGTACTCGATCTCGTTGCCGGACAAGTCCATTTTCTCCAGGTTCCAAACCCAGTCCAGTGAACTGACCACAATGGCCACCTTGTTCCTCCGCAGACATAGCGAGTGTAGGGAGATGAGGCGCGGGAAGTGGGCGAAGTTCACCTTGACCAAGTCGTTGTGCTCCAGGTGGAGCTCGGTGAGCTTGAACAAGCCGGCGAAAGAGTTGCGCGCCAGACTCTTGAGCTGATTGTATCCTATGTCGAGAAACTTGAGGCTGCGGCAGTCCTGGAAGATGCGCACCGGCACAAACTGGATGGCGTTGGCCCGCATATGCAGCGTGGTGAGCTTCCGCAGCCCATGGAAGAGGTCGGGCGCGAGCGCCTGCAGCTTGTTGTAGGAGAGGTCCACGCTGCGCAGGTTGGGCATGGGCCGGAAGGTGGTGTTGGCCAGTTGGGTGATCTGGTTGGAACTCAGCGTGAGTTCCTTAACTCGGCGCAGTTTCTGAAAGGCGTCCCCCTGCACCGAGCAGATGTGATTGTGATCCAGATAGAGCCACGTGAGCTGCATTAACCCCGTGAACTGACCGGCGCGCAGCTCCGAGAGGCTGTTGTAGCGCAGGGACAAGCCCAGCAGGCCGGACAGGTTGTGGGGCGCCTCGGTGAGGTTGAGCGCCTCGCAGTACAGCAGCCGCCCCTCGCACCGGCACAGCTGCGGGCACCCGCTGGGGGCGGCGGGCAGCATCTGAAAGCAGGCCCCCAGCAGACACAAGACCACCCCCGAGGGCCTCCTCAGCAGCCAGTATAGACAGAGACCGAGCAGCAGGAAATCCATTAGCGAGAATCTTTCCAGAGAGACTGGAGAACGTCCATTGGAAGCGCTCGGTCAGAAATCTACATCATATTTTATTCCGAGGGAGGGGGAGCAGGGGAGAGGGAGAAAAGGGCAAAAAATCAAATAAATATATAGAAATAAAGAAGGACCCCCCCTCCCCAAAACCGCACGTTCACCTCTAAGCATGCAGAAAGCTGGGCAGCATAGAAAGTTCACAGCCACGGAAAGATCAAAGAGATGGTGATTTGGTCCATGTTAGATGCTGCAGCAAAGAAAAGGGAGGAAAAAAAAAATCTTCGGGAAAGAATTTAATTAAAAAGTGTCTTACCCACCCTTTTCCAGAGAGTGACAACCTCCATTCAGCTGCTCCCTTTGTGTGCAGGCTAATTATATGCAGGGCGAGAGAAGACCCCTCTGTGTTTCCGAGGCAGCCCCGGTCCGCGGCCGGCGGATCTGGCAGGCGCACAATGTCTCACTTTGCTGCTGCTCGGCTCGGGGCTGCAAGGGCTGCCGGCGAGGCGGGGAGGCGACTTCTAGGACCCGCAAGTTTCCCAACTACGTGCCGGAGCCCGGGCTTCGCCTTCCTGCCGCTGTCCTTTCCCTCTGCAGTTCGGACCGTGACGTTGTGGGGGAAAAAAACTCCAAACTCGGGGCTCGCGACTCCCCAGGATTTGACAGTCTGGTTAATGTCCGTCATTGGAAACGACCACTGACCGGCGCCACCTTTTGCTCCGCGGAGACCGCCTGCCCTTAGCGCCCCGGGCAGCTGCGGAGAGAGGCTTCGCTCACGCTTTGCGGCGGCGGCGGCGGGGCGGTGAGGGCGGCGGCGCGGGGAGCGGCGAGCGGCGCCCGGGCTCCTTCCCTCCGCCAGGCAGTGTGCGGCGCGAGCTTGCACAGGCACCTACTGCTCACTGTGTGTCGTAAGCTGCTCACGATTGTGCGTCTTCCCCAGCACCACAGACATGGGCAGATTGAAAAGGGGTGGGCATAAAACCAACATTTTACCGAACCACTAAAGTAATATATGTTCTTTGATGAAACGGAAAACACTTTCAGCTTTTTTGTCCATATTTCGAAAACGGGAGGAGGGGTGGAGGTAGGGTAACATCATCAACGACAAGATATTTCCAAGTGAGAAACTGAAATACCCTGCGCTCTCCTCCCCTTCCCTTTCGGGGATATACATTTTTTCCCCTTTAAAGCTGTCTACGTGTAAGAGATACGTAGGAATTTGTAGAGAAATCAACATTTGGTCTTCTGCTTTAGAAAAGCAACTTCAGAGAAGACATGGGAAGGCAATGATTTGGGGGTTGGCTAAGATTTCCCCCCACTTCAGGCACTGGAATTCTGCAGTCAGCCAGCCCTTTCTGGTGGTGGATGGGGGCATGCTTCCCGAACCCACCCGGTTTGGGAAGCCAACCCAGTCCTCGTGGTGTGACATCCAGTGTGACAGAAAGGTATGTCTGTGTACAGGGAGACGGCTGAGATCCCGCTGGGGGCTTCTCCAGTCTCGGTAGATACGGGGAGGGGAACCCTGACGAGTGCTGTCTGCGGTGGTTTGGGGCCCTGCAGTGCACTCCAGTCCAGGAGAATGTGCTGGAGCACGTGTAGAGAAAGAGTAGTTTAACCATAATGAAGCCTACACCTCTCCATACAACACAACCCTAATTAATCTTTGAGACTGTACTAAATTGTGCTGCTTTTCCTCTAAGTATGAAGAGAATCCGTTGCCTCATTATTTCCATTAACAATTATTTATAGATAAGAGTTCTTACATTGAGCTCTCCCTCTTATTCCAGCCGATCTGGAGGGGGTCTGCACTGCTATTGGCAGGGACCTGTTGGTCATTTGTTGAAAAAAAAAAAAATCATCATCAAAGATGGCTGAGAAAGCTTGTTGAAGTGAATGTGGGCAAGCCTTTTTTTTTTTTTTTTTCTTGAAAGGTGCTCAAGGAGGTTCTGGGGGAGTCAAATGTAAATCTCCAGTTCCTCTCTTTGAATTCCTACCCTTTCTGCCTCTAAGGAACTCAGAATAAGTAGGCATTATCTGTAGTTGTACTCACTTTGATAGGAATGAGGGCGGATTGCCAGAGCTCCCAGGGTAGATGGACTGGACAAGTAACTGGATTGGTCCTTAGCATCCAAGCTCAACAATGAAAGTCACCAAAGAGTGGTGGTACTTTTCAGGAAAAGATATGAACAGGGGCATGAATCATTCCATTTTGTATTCATCTGAGCTCTGCCCTGGTCATTCATCTCTGAGATGCATCATTTAATTGGAAGGAACACAAATCTGAAATGTCCTAGACGTCACATGCTGTCTTGGGAGCTAAAAGAGACATTAGAAAATCAACCCCCTTAATTTTGCACATGATGAAACTGAGGCTGAGAGATGTCAGGGGATTATCCAAGGTCACATAGCTTGTTACTGGCACAGATGGTTTCTTTGCTGTCCCTCCTTAAAATGGTGCCCTTCCTTTGCCATTCTTGATGGTTATCTCTCTGTTGCTCTTGCCTCCTTCCTGATTCTGAATTGGGCATTTGCAGGTTTCATCCTGGCACTTCCAAGGTTCTGCGGAACACTTTAACAGACAGACAAACAAATTCACCATCAAGTGTTTTCACCTCTTGCCAAAACAATTATTCCTGACAGCAGGCCGGCTGATTGAGCCATAAACTCTAAAGGGTTGGGAGGTGGGGGGAGAGGTGTCGGGCAGGGACAGGCAGAGGTAAACAGTGGCCAGCCACCTAGCAAGTACTGTGAGTAAAAGCCACCCAATCCCCATGGCTGCTAGGAAGAAAACCCTCCTAATGCAGGCAGCTTGGCAAAGTGGTGACAGAGGCTGCCAAATGGGCAAGAAGAGGTCCCACTTTGGATGTCACTTGATTTGTAGAGCTGGTACAGAGAGACAGAAGAGTTGAGTATTGGCAAGAAAGAAAGAGAATAAAATTAAATTCACTGCATTTATATGTGAGTTTTCTTTTAAGTATGCTACTCAAAACTTAGAAGATGCTTCTAGGCTGAGAGGTGTGTATGTGTGTGTGTGTATATATATATGCACACATATACACACACACACACACACACATACACACGCAACAATCTATTGCTTTTCACATTATTATTCTGCAAATCATTTCATCTGTATGGTATCTTTAAACCTTTTCCACCTCTAATGTGGCAAGTTTGCATCTTTTCTACAGTTTTAAACCGTTTGGCAGAACCATATACATTAACAGATTGAAATGAGCTTTATTGAAATTTAGCTATTCTAAGTCATTTAAGTTGCAGAATCCCAATTTATTATGTATTTAAAGCATACCAACACTGATTAAATCAATGCAAATTAGGTTAAATAAGAACAACATGAATCAAGTGTTTCAGCAAAGTTAAGTCCAGAAACGACAACTTTTGAGTCACCACAGCAAGTTGATACGGCTGTTTTTCACAAGTTTTAATTTCATGGTTCTATGTGTCCAACCAACTAAAAAAGGAAAAAAAAAAAAAAACAAAAGAGCTCACCTAAAGTTTTTTCTTCCTTCCTGTTTGTTCTCTCATATCTCTACCTGTCTTGTGAGAATATCTGATTCACCAGGTTATAATATGGCTATTGTGTATATTTGATCAATCTGTTCTTCAGGGCTAACCACAGATTTCTGTTGGCAAATGTCTTCTCCTTCAGTATTGGATATCTGATGAGAGATATTTTGCATGCTTTGAAAACACCCTTGATATTTTCCATGCTTTTATGGGAAAGGAGCCTGAGCCCATCTAGCTGAACCACTGTAATAACAATTTTAGTAGTGGGGCATCAAGAATACCACTCCAAGCCATTGTGCCAACATTTTATTGGGAACTGAGACCAGACCCCCAATCTAGGATAAGAAAGAATAAGAACATTAAAAATTTTGATGTAGTAAATGCACGAAGGGAGTCTGGAGTGCGAGAGGTATGAATCTGATTGCCTAAACACAAGCTGGAGCTAAGGAGGATGGAAGCAAGCTGGGTGCAGTTAGAGAGCTCAGAAGGATATCGTGGAGGAGGGAGAGTTGATTAATTCCTTCTCTCTTCAACTTATAAATTTGGCTTTGGTTCATAAACCCTCCTGCTTTTTCTTGGTACTCCATGTTGCGACAGCAGTGGGGGGTGGGAGGAGTCATACGTAATTTCTTTTTGGGGGGTATATCATCATCTCGCCTGTTTCCTCTCAACTGAAGTCCACTCCCAACTTGTTCATTTTAGTCAAAATAATTTGTGAACAGAGAGATGCAAGTGCAAAAAGTCTGAAACGAACCCGCATTGTGGGGATTGGCTTTCTATTAGTAGTCTTTGTCCATGTTCAAGAAAAGAGAAATTCAAGTGGTGATTTTAATGTTCTGTCATCTCTAGCACCAGCCTGGCCTTGATCTTTATGCTGTTGTCTTTAATTTTCAGTAGCAGTGAACCATGGCTTTTCTTTAAAAGGGAATATTTGGTGGGATTGGGGGAGGATGGGAGTCACCATTTCAAAAGGAGAGAATTAACTCCGTTGTTTCTGTAGGCATGTACCATACGGCTGGCATTTTACAGAGTGCCTGGAGGAGCCTAAGACTAAGAGCACTAAGGCTTCTTTCAGGAGATCTACTTAGAAACAGATCAGAAAGGGGAGGTCATTCTACTTGTCGAACTTTATCCTTCTCTTAAAACAAGGCAGTGGTATGGATAGCAGCAAGAAAGCATCTGCCACGCTCAGTGAATGATGTGAGTCAGGGGAGTAAACCATGAGGCCTGCCTTGCTGTTCTGAGCCCCTCTGCACAGGTTTTCTCTGTATCGAAATATGCTCTGATCATAGCAGGTTGGGTGCACCTGTTGTATACTCTATCCATGCTTACCTGCATTCTAACTATCCTAAATATCCTTCGAAGCTGATGTCAAATCTCCACTATGATTCCTTAACTGACTCCCAGCCCTCTCCCCTATATAAAATGATCCCTCATTCTTCTGAACTCCATGAACAGCTTATCTTTACTAAACTTGTAATCCTGTTCACTTTCAATGGGTGTGGTAGTAATTTCTAATTATAGTATTTTAGAACCGAAAGGGACATTAAACATCTTAGAAATAAAGAGTAAAAAGATCTCAGTTGGGGTTTCTGCTTTGACGTTTTGTATCAGTGTGACTCTACACAAGTCACTTCTTTGTCAGTGAAGTAGGGCTGTCTTAAGGGATACTTGGGGAAATTAAATGATGTCATGTCTGGCAACTCAAAAGTGTAGCGCGGGGACCAGCAGCCCAAGAGCTTGTTAGAAATGCAGAATCTCAGGCCTTTCTCCAAAGCCACTGAATCACATCTGCATCTAACCACTAGCCCCAGGTAATTCATTACATTTTGAGAAGCATTAGTAGAGCACTTGCAAATTTTAACCTGAAAAAGAAACCCAGTTATCTTTGATTCCCTTGTTTTATAATTGAGCAATTGAAGGGACAGAAATATTAAATACTTGTCCGCCCTTAGTGGTGCAATTGGGTCCAAAAAACCAAACTTTGGGGACCATATGTTCTTTCTCCTATTAGATTTTAAACACAGAATGCAAAGTCTGTATCTATCATGGTCCCAAAGCACTTAGTAGGGCTCTTAAAGTTTGGTTTTCTAATTGGTTACAGCAGGAGTTGTAGAGCCTTCATAGGTCTAGCATTAGGCATCTTTTGCTTGGTTTCTTTCCATATTATCCTCGGATGTAATGGTGTTCTGACATCTGGCATAAGACTTCAATTGCAGGCTTCCACATCAGGTGGAGTTGCGTGGTGATAGATCATACTGGGCAGCCCAATATTTTGTCCCTTCGCACATACAATGGTCGAAGGGTCAGGACAGCAGAGACAAGTGAGGCGAAGTGGACCGAAGGTGCATTAGAGCTGTCTTCCTAGAAAAACTATGATGTTTGCTTATACTACCCTTTAGTTCTCTTATCACTGCCAATCTGATACTATGACATGCGAGTATTTCTCATGGACATTTTTATTATAGAAAAAAAATGAAAAATGGAGAAAAAGAAAATGAAAAAAAGTTTTAAATGAAGGTTAAGTCACCTAAAATTCAACCACCTGGAGATAAACTATTGACTTCTGGGTATATATTCTTTTAGAATTTGTCCCCTCTTGTTTACTAGTTAGGTTGTTTCTGTTTTTTACCCATTATAAAATATGCTGTGATGAATATCATTATATTTGAACATTTGGGCACCCATGTCCTTAAATGTTAATTGTAGAAGTGGAATTAGTGTTCAAAGGGGAAGGACTTTTAAAAGACTTGAAATACATAATGCCAAATTGTCCCCCTGAAAGGTTGTACACTTTTCATTCTCAGTACCTCTTTCATTGCTTTCTTTCTCTTTTTCCTGAGAAATCCCACCACCCCACAAATCAAAATACCCTTTGAACACCCTCTCCTGGGTGTGCCGAATGAGACCTCTGCTT